TGCTTCAGATTTCCTGTGGGAGGAGCTGAGTGTGTTCAAACAAAACCTGCACCCGTGTGCACCGGCTGGTTTTACATTTCACAGGTGTAAATAATAAAGTGACCGGTGAGTGCAGGTATCAGACAGACAGAAGACCTTGAAGTCAATACAGCACTAATGTATGAAATAAAACCTTTAGACATAGACAAATCATTTCAGTGTGTCATTTCTAACATTCACGTTGCAGCTAAAGTCAGAGCAACATCGGAAGTTAAGGATATATAACATTTTATGCATAAATAACAAATTTGTATTGCGACTCGTGAAGTTCGATTACCAGCAGAGAACTTCTTTCACATTTACCTTTTTAATAACAAAGCTGTTTGCTGGTATGATTTAACTACCCTCTTGGTTACATATTATACTGATAATAATATAGATATATATGTATTTTACAAGAGAATAGACTTGCTCTGAAGGTGGGCATCCTTCCCTGGTTTCACCTACAGGAAGTGAAAAGTGTAAAAAAAAAATTATAAATAATCAATAGAACATCTTTATGTGTGGTTTATGTAGCTGCAATGAAATTTTATGTACTTTTATTTTATTTTTTTAAGTTTCAAGGAATATATATATATGTATATATATATATATATATATTGGGAAAATATAAAGTCAAAATGCCATAAAAAAAATATTTAAAAGGGTTTTCAGCTCTGAAGCTATACTTAAAAGATCTGTTTTTATGCACTTTATGCAAAACCTTTTTAGAGTGATATCATTACAGCCAAACTGGTTCTTTGTTGCACAGAAATTATTTGTTGATTAGTTGCAGATTATTCTCAGGCTTTGTGGTTGTTCATGACAAAATCTCAACCCAATCCAGCAAAAAAAAAAAAAAAGTGATAAGGAATCGCAAAAAGTGATTTAAAAAAAAATTTTGCTCAGGAGGCCAATTGTTTTTACTGAAAAGCCCAATGAGGGACGGTAGTTGAACATTATCTTAATGCTGTACACTCTATATGCAATACATCCAATGTTTTCTATGTAAAATGTACATGTTATTTATCAAATAAATAAATAATGAAATGAAACTTTTTTTTAAAAAATCACATCTGAAAACGTATTCGAAGTAGAACTTTAGGGGTTTTGCAATAAAATAGAAGTTTTCGTATTATTTTTTTCAAGAAAATTTCCTGAAACAAACGGGCTGGTTTGCTGAGTTGACACAGAATGACCCCATAAGACAAATAGCAGCATCTTGCCCTTCTTGTCCTTGTCTGCCGCACCGTCACTCTCCGACCAGGAGGGGGTGCTGCTCAGCAGGCGGCTCTGACTCTCTCTCAGCGGTTTGGAGGGAAACTGGCGACCTTCTGCTGCACTGAAAACACACCGACAGGAACCACCGGTTGTAAACAAGACTTCATGAGCGGTTTTCACTGAGCCTTCCTGTTCAGATTAAATACTTCTAAGTCCTGTCATCTGAAATTAACTGCAGCTGAGTGATTTTCCTGCATCATTGAACCTACACAGTCAATAAACCACTAGAGGCCGACTTGTACACTGTAAGAAGTGATTTAAGGAACCTAATCTGGCCGCTTAATTAAATGCAAGGTTGCAAGATAATGTAGCTACACCTGCTCAGCTGCAGACATTGTTTTAATGGGTTGTGTAGACGTAATAAAGTTGCATCAATTTCATATTATGTGTAATTTACAATTGTGTAACTCACATTTCTGCATTTGTTGATTTAAAACCAAATTTAAGTTGATGTAGCTTCATGTATTTGGTTTGATAACTTCATGTTTCTTCCCCCAGGGTTCAAGATTTCAAGTCTCCTTCCAAATCCTAACATGTCTGCACAACTTCAGACGGCTAAGATTGGTAAATAAAAATACTTTTGATCGTAGTTTGGAAAACAACCTGTACACTTTTTTTTTTCTGTTGCAGCAAAACCTTGTTTTTTTAGAGTGTAGTTGTGCAGACTGGTGTTTCTGAGCAGTACGTGGGTTTACATGGGTAATGGATGGGTGTGTTCCTGTTTTCACTCACGCCTTGTTGGCAGGGTTGGAGCCGGTGGGTGATGACGGCTGCTCAGGGTCCAGGTTCACCAGGCAGGTTGGGAACGAGCAGCCGTCACCTAAACTGAGGTGCCAGAAACAAGACAGAAGCACAGTTTTGTGAAGTTTTCTGTGGAAATAACAGTTGATAAAGTTGATGTTAAAGCTTCTGCTGAGCAGCGGTCACTGCAGCCACCAGTGGCAATTATGGGATTAAAGTAAATGCTGAAATGAGGTGTTGTGGCAGCACAAGTATATACGAGTCAACAAGTCAGCAGAATGCAAATTATGCAATGTAATGTTATTAGTTAACATCAACCACTAAGAATCCAGCGGTTACACCACTGAGGCATCGACACGTTTTACATTTAATGCTCTGGAAACCTCAAAACTCTCTTCTGTTTATACATTAAAAGCTCTACGATTAGAACATTGTTCATCTTCTCAGTACAAATTAGTAGTTTTGCAAATGTGGAGCTTCTGCAGTAATTCGCAGCAGCGATGTCGCTGTTTGCAGCAGCTCAAGCTCTCCTGCTCCTTCAGGGACTTTCTCAGTCTTTTGAACTCTTTTGTCTCAAACTAAGCGGCAGCGCTCACTAATCCCCCAGGCTGAATAGTGATTTCATTCATTCAGGACCGCTCTGACATCCTGAGGAAGAGTGTCGAAATAGCTGAGATATAACTAAACTGCTTCATTTTGAATAGTTTCGGATGCAGCGCTTGAAAACACCTCGGTAGGAGGTTTTAACATCGAGCTACACAGAACTGTACAAGGTATTAGAATGACCTTATAACCTGTAGATCAGTGTGTTGTCACTATTTAGGGATTTTAATCCTTTGTGTTTTGTATATATAAGGGAACTGGAGGGCCTTCCATCGACATAAATCCATCATACATTCATCAGCCACAATATTCAAACTACTGACGACACTGATCCTCTTGTTATCGTCTAATGTTCTGCTGGGAAACGTTCTGATTCTAGCATTTATACTGTCGGGAGGCCGTGGCTCAGGTGGTAGAGCGGTTGTCCTCTAATCACAAGGTTGGCTGTTTGATCCCCCGCCCCTCCACAGCTGAAGTGTCCTTGGGCAAGACACTGAACCTGAAGTTGCTCAGCTCTGTCGCCGTTGGTGTATGAATGTATGTGTGAAAGGGTGACTGAGAAACACAATGTAAAGAGCAACACCACTGAGGTAGAAAAGTGCCATATAAGCGCAGTTTACTGTTACAGAAACCAAGCACTCTGTAATTCCTCCAGTAGCGGCACAAAAATACTCAGGAAATGCTCGAGGAGCACGACAAAGAGCCAAACTCTTCAGAACCCAAACCTGTTGAACATCCACTGAGGCCACAGGACCCAGTGGACCTGCTTCGTCCCAGTACCAGACACCACAGGACACCCCAAGAGGTTTTATGTACATCTTACAGCTGTTTTGGCAGCACGATAAGAACCTACACAATATGACTCAGGTGGTTTTAATGTTGTGGCTCTAGAAGGTCACAAGGCAGTTGGAGCCTGTAATCACCTGACAGCAGGCGAGCAGTGGATAGATCATCAGTTCATTGCAGGGATCAAACCAAGAGAGCCGCTGTGTGCAACTTAAATGTGCAATTTCTAGAAAAGCTACAGTGTGATTGCGGAAAGCTGTTTCTAACTTAAAACTATTGCAGCTTGTGTCTTCCAGCACGTGTACAAGATAAAACCCCTTTAGTTAGTGGACAACACTCTCTACCACCTGAGCTACAGCTGCCACTAGAAGTGTTCATGCCTTCATTGCTCACCGGTGGTTACCGTACAATAGTGACCACGCTGAAGGCTTTTTTTTTATGCCTTTATCTGAGTTGACAGTAAAAATATGTAAGAAAGCCCCAAAAGCACAACACAGTGACCATCTCATGGTATATTTGATTTGTTTTGTGTTGATTTAATGGTTTTTTTCAAAATAAAAATCCACCCATTAGCTATATTTCAGCCTATTCCATCTGACATAGGTCAAACAACAGCACAGAACCAGAACCTTCTTGGACGTGCAGTTCTTGGAGCAATTGCAGTGTGATTGCTGAAAGACCTGCCAACCCTGTTACTACTGGACAACCTGCTCTGCTACCTGAGCCACAGCACTAAAAATGTTCATGCAACTATTGTCAGCTTTATTTGAGTTGACTGTAAAAGATGCAGAACATATTTTAATCAGGTTTTAGCTGATCTTCAGATCTACAGCGCCGGATGATTCTAAACCTTCACGTCTTTACCAGTTGGTTTTATAATACTGATGGTGCAGCGTCGTGCGTGTTGAAGCAGCTCATGAAGCCTTTGTTTTGGTTTTTAGTTTGCCCTCCGTGTGTGTTGCTGTTTCTAAGAATTTAATTATCTTTTATTTGATAAGTAAATTAAATCGTTTTTCTTTTGAACGCCTTCGAGGGGCGATCTTACCTGGAGAAAATGGGAATGGGCCAGTATTTAACTTCATCCCCGAAGACCTGGCGGAAGTTCTTACTGACGCCCAGACTGAAACCGTTCTTATCTGTGCCGTGACGAAACACCGGAGCTCGCACAGCCTCTGGAAAAAAAAAGACAGGCGTGGAGAGGAAGAGTCAGTCTGGCATGAAGATGAATAAATACAGCGCTCCCTCCTCCGTCTTTATATAAGCTGTTATTCAAACTGATAACAGGAGCTCATTCAGACAACAGATCACCGCAGGAGCCATTCCTGCAGAACTGTGGCATCAATGAAACAACTCTGAATGAAAGTGTCTTTGTTGTGCGGTAAAAGCAGATCTCAGACTGTTTCACCAGGTGTGACTTCTCCCTCTGAACAGCGTATCAGTGTCTGTTACTAAGCTGCTTACTGCCCTGAGCCTTGTGTCTTTGCATTACACTGTAACATACTCCTGTGGATAATCCACTCTCCTCAACGCACACAGACAAAGTGTGCCACTGTGCACACATAATGAGAAACGGCTCCGTCTGATAGCGGCCCAGAGAGGCTCATCAAGCCTCCGCGCTGATGAGGATGGTGACTGACTGGTGGGAAAAACGCAATGAAACATCCTTCATCATTAGTGCAAAGGCGACGTTGTGCAAACAGTGAGCAGGCTGGAAGGAGATGGTCGGGGACGAACACCAAAAGAGGAAGCTGGGGTCTGCTTCAAACATACAAATATCCACACGTACACAACACGCCACCTACCGAGAGTGGATCTGTTCTTGCAGACCAGCCAGCAGTGGTAGATGAAGAGCGACGCCAGGCTGACGGAAAACATGGAGGCCGAGAAGAAGAGGAACAGGATGTGGAACTTTGCCTGAGTGTCTGGGAGGCCGTTCTGAGGAAAAGCGACACAGTGAGACGACTAAACGGGCACAGAGTGGACACAAAAATGAAATAAATCTCATCAGCTGGTGCCATCTACTGGGTTCTCTGTAGGATTTAAACTAGCTATGCTAAGGGAAGCTCAGTTAATCGTTTCTATTCTAGCACCAAAAACTAGCTGTTTGCTTCCTACCAGGTATTCCCTCAGACGGAAATGTGCTCTACCTCCGGCCTTGTGGGAAAAAATACCACGTGTTTGTGATTAAAGATGCAAAACACAACAGATTGAAAAGAAGTTGCATCGTGTCATCAAAGATTCCCCCAACACTTACTGTCCAAAACTTTATGAAGTACTGGAGATCTGTAGCGGTTATAAAAAGGCAGTAAAGTAGCGAATACGCCAAGAACAGCATGAAGAACTTGTAGTTGGAGAATCCCACACAGTTGTTCACCCTGCGAGAAGAACGAAAGGACAATGAGCATGTTCACACCTCCGCGAAATGCAAAGATTTTTCAGTTTTGCTTCAGTTCTTTTATTTATTTAATTAAGACTTGTTTGGGCATTAACATTTAGTGCAGGACAGTACTATCCATCCATCCATCCATCCATCCAT